TAAGTGGTTCTGATATGGCAACCGAAATTAATTATAAGCAAACCAAAAACCAATACCCTGTGAGCATTGCATCAAAAAGCCACGCGGAGAAGGGCACTTCCAAGAAGAGAGTTCCATATGCACCGTATATTGTCACAGGAATGAGGAGCATGCTTATAACACAACAACTTCTGGGTAGCGGCTTAGAGCGAGCGCGACTGCCTAACCATCGAATGTACAACACTTTCAGCATTCACGGGCATGCCACAGCGACCAGTTGATGAACATCGCATCTTCCTGGAAGTTACAGGCTGCCATGGAACCATTGTACATTGCGGCTCACCAAACTCTCTGACCCGGGCCTCAGAAGTTGATGTTCTTTGGGGCTAGGGATTCGGCTCGTCCTGGCAGCCAAGGGTTGAAGTGAACCTTCACGACGAATACCTTCCTCTGTCGACCTCGTCCGGCTCAATTCTTCCATGATGCTGCCAGCGGAGTCAAACAAAAAAGGCACGGTTCTCATCGCTGGGGGCTCTATAGAAGGTTGTCCCTGCATGGAAATGGTTGGCGACAAATCATGCACGCATTGGCCATTTTTCTTTTCATTTCTGGCCGCTCCAAATGCAGACTTGTGTGATCGGTTCCTAGGTTCCGCTGTCGGTAGAATGCAGAACAACAACGGCCAAATCGATTGCTGTGCGAGTCCCTTATTTCAGATTCCATTGAAATGAAGAAAGAAAACTAGGGAATCCAAAGCCTGAGTGTCAAAGGAGATTGCACTTCCATTACGAAAAACAGGCGCCCGAGAGGTCTGGAAGATCTCAGGGGCATGCGATTAGGAACCGACACGCGAGAATCTCCTTCGTTAAATGCAAGGTGACGCCCTTTATTTCAAAAGAGAGAGTGCAAATGGATGAGAAACCTTTTCGTGCAAATTTCCAGCGAAGTGCGCTTTGTTGGCTCCGCCTACAACGCAGAATGTTACTTCGGACAATGTGTGCGCAGGGTCTGGTCCTTGTTGTTCTCTTTGTTATCCCCACCTGACCGAAAGGATTTTGGTGTTTGGTATAGGTGGTGGAACAAGACAGCCCACTTGCGAGAAGGAAGCCAGGAAGCAGTGTACATGGGGGGGAGACGCACCAAGAGAGCATGTGTAAGCAGTGATTCATCTTCATCATCGGACGTGGCCTTGAAACTCGGCGCTGCGCACACTGGAGTGCCCAGTCGTGATTCAAGGAGATCCATTTCAACTGGAGTATTCTCTTGTTCTTGCAGTATTTCCTGCGCACATAGTCATGAATGGGTTACCAAGCTTCGGCGCCGACATCAGAGTCACTGATGCAGCATTCTATATCATTCGGGATTTGTTAAATGTGCGCAAGAGAAGTCGAAAGAGGTGCCGCGTTGCCCGGTGAAAGATTCTGCACTCGCCTGAGCATATCTCGTGAACAATGCCTCCGCTGATTGGTCCCGTCCCATGATTGCCTTCATCGTGCTCTTGCTGGCGGCTTTTGGCTGCGACATAATTTTTTGCAGTGCGCCCACACAATGGGCGACGGGCCTGAACTTAGCGGACTTTTGCCACCTGCCAGCCGTCCCCTTTTTTTGATTTTTGACCTTTTTGGTGGCATTCGCTAGTAATTTTCGACCTTTGGGGGCTGGCTTTGTTGGTGGAACATAAATTTTCGAGCTCCTGGCCTTTTTCCTGGACAGAAACTCAGAAGCACCTTGCCCGCCATTGCCGCCAGAAAGAAAAACACCTGTTTACCAACAAAACTACATAAATGTAGCATTTTTCAAGCGCAACGCCTTTACGAGCTACGTTCTGTTGCATGTTTCCGGAGTGTATCGCGAGCGCAGGTTTCAGGAGAGCATCCCGGAACGGCCTATACGGAGGAATGTGGGGTCCCATCTTGGACCCTGGTTACTGGAATGGAGGGGCTGCAAACTTGTTCTTTCAATCTTGCGCACGCCCCATGCTGGCATGATCTACACCTATGATGGTTCATTCAGGACACTCGACTACTCGCTTGTTAGAAAACTCTGAATATGCTTCGTCCTGTGCGGAGGAAGTAAAGGATGGATTGACTTGGCAACGAAGAAAAGCCATTGAGGCAACAACAAAGGCATTCCTCGTCGGCCGCCACGCGCGATCCCTCGATCAGTGGGCCTGCCAAGTGTCGCTCGCGCCTTGCAATCCGCGATCGAAAGCCAAGAGGGCGAAAATTTTCTCAAAGGGGATGTGCGCAGAGGGCGGACTGTGCGGCAGCCACCCGCCCTTCACCTCCTCGCCGCCCCTGCTGCTGCTGCTTGTATCGAATTTCGCGTTCCGCGGCTCTGATCTGAAGCGTGACCCTGTCAATCCTGGGGAGCAGAGATTGCGGTGCCACGGGCCTCCATGCGCCTTCGGGAGGCGGATGCGGCTGCTGCTCCGCTGCAGTCGCCGCGCTGCTGGAGCTGCCGTCTGGGGAAGGCATCGGCACGTTGACCCCAGTCAACGACGCATGCTGTCTCTCGAACGACGCAAGCCGGCAAGGCTTGCCGATCGCCTGCTGGAGGGTCGCCACAGCGATGTGCGATTTGATGGAACGGAGAGGAGGGAGAGGCGCAAAGGTCAATCGGCAAGATGGGATTTCAGACCGCGCAAGGTGACTCCAAGATTTTGCCTCCCGTCATAGAAGTTGTCGATTTCATCATCATCATCATCATCATGATTTTTTACAGAACAAGGCAATGATTTCACTTTTCTGCTTTCGTGCAGATGAGCATCGGGACGTGCGGCGCACATAATGAGAAACTTTCAAACTTTCCGAATCGACCCAACAAAGGGCACAGGACGCACTGAAGTCACGTCGCGGGCAGTGCCTGTAACCGTTGACAAAGCATCAATATTTCAGGTTCATACCATACTGCGTTGGGTTACAATCAGTGGCGCGACAAAGCCGCGAAACCGGGTTTATACTTCGTGAAAACGGTTAACAAGCTTTCGAGAGGGTCAGGCAGTGGATGGAACAACGTTGTTCCACCCCCTGTTAGTAGCTTTTCTTAGATCGGTGATGGGGCGGATAGCGGCTCCACAGCGTGCCCCGCCCTCTCCAAAGCGTTGGCCCGAAATCGGCTACAACGCTTCTCTCCTGTTCGGCTGGAGCGCTTCACAAGGCCAAGAGAATCAAAACTTGATTCTAATACGCTGGCCGGTCCATCAGAATCGAGTGCGCCAACAGCATGTCACGTCGCGCGGTATTTGTGACAATTCAATTCTTGCTGAATGTGACAATTCGCTCGATGTTTTGCCCAACGGATTTCGGCTGTGCCCAAATTCCGCTAAAGTAAACATCGAGAGAATTGTCGCAAACACTACGAATTTGAATGCCATTGAATTACTGCGGGTGAATCTGGGACTCCACGCCAGCCAGCAACAACAGTATGCTGAAAAACGAGCATCAAAAACCACTTAAATGCTAAAACCACGTCTGGGCTGTCGAGACTAGGCTGGTTGCTCACAGTTTTGAACAAAATGTTGTTACGCATGTTATGTTGCTGTCATCATCATCAACATCCGTTGATTACATTTGCCGTGAAATGGCAAAACACAGCCCTTGCACCTGATAGGCGATGATGGGCGTGAAAACTTAACGAAGTGTTTGTTCAGAATCAACTGTTCATGGTCCCATGACCACACAATTCCCGATTCGTATGCAATCCCTGGAGAAGTTATGTTATAAGTGTGTCATGTGACAAGCTATGTTGCTGTACAGCTGCCATTATGCTTCTATTCGCAATTACGTGCAGGCAGCCGGACACTCATACTTACGGGCATAGTTACACATGTTGGCTTGGAACAACGCTGTCGTACTTCTGTCGTATTACATGCTGATGCTGACATTTTGTGAGCTCGCCGTCTCAAGTTGAGATTCTCAACAATGACCCTGCACTGTGTGGACCATGCCCTCTGAAACGACGGCGACGTCGTCAATCATGCGGTTGTCGTTCACCCAACGCGCGTTGGGCTGCAAACTAATGCACTTGGCCGTCATCACCATGGGCAGATGGTATAAATGCTATACATTACAACGCATTATTGCGCGTAAATTGGGTAAACCATATTTACATGCGATTGCCCACAAGCACCGGCCTGGCATGGACCTTGTCCGAATACCCATTTTAACATAGTACGCCTTCATGAAGTATAAAAGTGGGATGTTGGGATGGCGGAGCAACACAGCGCTTCCAGGGTCAATTGACATGTCCGATACCGACACCACATCTTACAGAATTTAGTGTACACATGACTGTATAATGCAGCATGTAGCTGCGCCGCTATTCTCCTTTCCCATCGCCCCCTATGCTGTGCCTTGAATGGTTCAGCGGATGCCATACTCTGGCCTCCGGCTCTAAAGGCGATTTGACGCATCGCCACGACCAAGCGACAGCACATCCTGTGCTATGTAAATTTTCCCTTTCGCACCTCCGCTCCTGCAAAACTGTCATCATCGCAACATTGCGCAAGCCTGTGCACGCATGCACTCATTCCATTTACATGGAATGTTCAGTTCGCAATGTCATGGGGCTACTTCCCAACTGTCGATTGCTTCAAACTCTAATTTACCTATCGGTTCCAGTCCTAGCGAAGTTGCCATTGCAGCGGAATATGAAAATCCGTACTGAAGAGCCAGCGAGTAGCTCCTGGTGGAACTCCCCGGTCAGCGTGACGCACAGTTCCCTAGTTTGGATGTGAGAATGTGCTTCACCAACACTATCACCATCTTATGGACGAGCGAGTGACGCCTGATTCCCTTGGTCAAAGGCGCCCTTTCTTGCCGTTGGTTGACCTACATATATGCCCGCAAGCAGCCTGCCCGCATTCACATTCCTAGCCACACAAATGTTTCTCACGCCATCCGCTGCTTTGGTAGTGCCGGGCGCCGTCATTCTGACGACGTCATCAAAACAATGTGCCGGAGACTGCCGCCGCGTTCCGTCGACCTTTCGCCGTGGGAACCCCGGGCCCAGCACTCTCGTCACTCCTCGGCATCGCACCACCTGGGGTGCCGGGGTGGGACGTACTCATCTTCAGAGCTGTAATACTCCCCCGCAAATGCGTCCTTCGGCAGCCCCTGCCGCCAGCGCGAACCGCGAGTCAGACCACCCTGCCCGCGGCGCCCTCCCCCACCACTCACGCCCAACCAACTGAACAAAACCGAAACAAACAGCAACGGGCCGCAACTCGCAACAACGAACGAAGGCCGCCGGTCCGCCGCTCACCGAGTTCTCGCCCTGCTCGCCGTCGCTGTCGCCGACGCCACCCCGCTCCCAGCCGCGTCTCGCCCCAAGCGCGATCCCGCCCTCGGATCCCGTCGCCTCTTCACCACCCCTGGACGCCCCTTGCCCAGCGCAGGAAGCACCCGCCATGCATGCCATGGGCACCCCGGCGCCCCTGGACGACGTCCCGGACGTCTCGGGGCGGTCTTTTGCGTCCCCCGCCTCCGGTGGGCCGCCGGGAAGCGCCAGGCACTGCGAAACGCGGTCGACGGGATCCCTTGAGTTTGCGTCATCGCGCTCCGCCGCGTCGCCGCCCGTCCGCCCCACGCCGGAAGACCTCGCCCGCGCCTGCGACGCCTCCCACTGCAGCGCCCCCAGGGCTTCATCAATCGCCCTCCTCCCGGATCGCCCGGATCGCGCCGCGGCCCGCCGCCTGGCCCCGCAACGACGACTGACGACCGTTGGGCGACGTGCGGCGGGCGGCGCCCATGCGGCGATGTTGATCGACGCCTCGGATCGCTCGACGGGAGCAACGCGGTCATCAGGGTCGAACGATGCGCTGTCGTGGCAATGGTGATCGGTCACCCGGGCCCGGTTGCCGAGGGAGGGCTGCGCCACAGACACCGACAGGCACTCCACACCCGAAAGGCTACCCGCCGATGCCAAATGCGGTGCGCGTGCGCCGCCCTTCCCGCCGCTCCGCCCGGCCCCAGTCGCCCCGGGCGCGCGCTGACCGATCGAATCCGATCCCCAGGCGTCGCCCCCGGCCCGATGCGCCCTCGCGGATCCCTCCAGGGCGCCGGACTCGGGCGCCGCGGCCAGCCGCCACGGCACCAGCGCCACCGACCCGCATCCCTGTTGCCAGGATCCCTCCGCCGTCTCGGAGCCGATCGGGTCGCGCCTCAGGGTATCGAAGGTGGAGCGCATGGACGTGACGCTCTGGCCCGCGGCGCTGGAGGCCATCTTGTGGGAGGGATCGCGACGGTTCAGATCGGCCATGTCCGGCCGCAGCGTCGCCTCGGGGCCGGGAGCGCGGCCGCGCTTGCGGTCCCTCCCCCCCGGGCCGACCGACCAGCGGTTCTGGCTGGATTGGCACGACATCGCGGACGCCGCCTGGCCGCCCTTGGCCTGCAGCGCCCTGGCCGTCTTGCGCCGCGGCCCCGCGGGAGGCATGGCGCCGGCTTGATGGCGATGGCGTCCTGCGCTCGGCCTCAATGGTCGTTGGGGCTGGGATCGCCGAATTCCCCGCGTCCAAATTTCGACATTCAAATACAGGCGTAGGGCCAGCTACGACGGCCGATCGAACTCGGCGAGGGGGCGCGCTTCGGGGACTTGGAAAGGCAGAAGCGAATTTGAATGGCGCCGTGCTGGGACGACTCTGAGAAGGCTCGTCTCTTTGTGGCTGCTGGAGCGAAACCATTGTCAACTATGACCAGGTGCATCCGGACGCCCAACGCTGAGCACGAAATTCAGACAACTTCCTGCGCTTCGTTCAACGAAGTCCGTTGCGGAATCTGCAGTGAAGGCTGGCCAAAAGTGCGGAAAACCGTCTGAAGCGCCATTTTCAAGATATCTGACAACATGTTGGACGCGGTGCCCTGGCCCTCTGCAAGACAGCCTGCATTGTTGCACCCTACAGTCGGACCGCAACAACCGTGGTACTTTTATACGACAGCTTCGTTGGCATACTCAGGAGTGGGATCGGCGTCAATGTTTCCGCAGATGTCACTCCCGAGTATGCTATTAATGTTTCCGCAGGCCGATCGCCATGTGCACACATTGTGCCTCTTAGATGCCACCAACCCGTGGCAGCGGCCTGCAAGTTTGCGCTGAATAGAACAGCATGCAGAAACCCACCAAAGATGGATTATCGTCAAATAGGGACAAAAGGGGTTCCCCCGGTGCCCTCTTCGAGGCGCTGAAGCCTGGAATGGGAGGCAGGGTGTTCGTCACCGTCGGCACAACACGCTTCGATGAGCTCATAAGGCAAGCCATCTGCGTTATCGGAAGCAAGTCCGGTTGTGGACGGCCCGCACAGCGCCCGCGCCTCGGCTTGGCACCTCCTGAAGCCTTGCTGGAGCGTTTGACAGGGCCGTGGACTCTCATGAAGTGTCGAACATCTTACGGTCCAGAGGGCACGATGCGCTGGTGGTGCAGAAAGGTAGCGGCGAGTACAAAATGCATAATCTGCTGGCGAAAGACGAGGCCGCAACCACGTTGGCCAATGGCCTGAAGGTCGAGTAGGTAGCCCGAAGCGCACCCCTCGTCTCCCCCCTGCCCCGCTTGCTTCCGTGTGGTTTCACGAAAGAATGACAAGGTAGACGACATCAGAACGGATTCTACTATTCTCGACCAGTTTGGTCAGTTCTCTGGCAGGGACTCTGGTACGAATTTGGGAAGCGTCGCTGTGGTTAGGTGTGCGAATCCCTCCACTGCCATGCCATTGCACCGGAAAGCTTGCGAGCGTGCTTATTCTGCGAAGCACTTGGCAGTATGTAGGACTCACGTCAGCTCGTTAGCTGATCCCACTTGTAAGAAAGGGGGAAGTGCAGGCAGTGGAAAGCGCCACTTCAGCCATGAGAGCGGCGTTAGTGGCGTTCATGATTGCCACTTAATTGTTGCCAATTTCGTGATTGCCGTTTCGTGATTGGCAACAGCAATCATCAATGGCGACCACAAGGTTTACAGTCCAATTGGTGTGATGGAAATGGCATGACTGCCCTGCGTTTCTCCAGGTGTTTCGACTTCCTCCCAAGCATTGCGGACCACATTGCATCTGCATCACTTGTCATATGCCATGCAGGTGGGCTGATCACTCCATGTGCACACTTCATCTCCACTTCTTTTGTCTTGTAAATGGCTCTGCGCATTCCTGTGTAACGACAAGATTGTCACTGTCAATTGTGTGACTCTTTGAGTAGCTTGACGTCATCACTGCCTCTACAAGGCACTTTACCAGCAATTTGCACCCGCTTGTCCCTGCAAAAACACGACAGTCATGTTGAGAGGCCAGCAACCCTCCAGAAAGTGCCTATTTGGGACATATTCTCCTTCATGCGTTTGCCCAGGATCTTGTGAGGTGCAAGACCTGACGCTCCTTGCCACGCCATGTTGAGCACGTCCTCAATGCTCCGTGCCACATCCACAGGTGCTGGGAGCATATTTGAGGGTCTTCGTGCTGGCAAGAGGCTTGTGGTCATCCCAAACACGTCACTCATGGACAACCACCAAATTGAACTCGCACACCACTTGGAACATCTGGGACACTTGGTACGGGCACAGTGCTTGGCATTTTAAATGCGCCTGTGACCTTCACACAGTATGTGCATGCTCACACTTGTGTGCCGCTTGTTGGTGGTCAGTGATATATCCCATGAACTGGTGTTATGCTCTGTGTGGTCTTGTGTGGAGTCCAGCCTCGGCACTCCTCCATAGGACATGCATCCACCCAGTCTTGACTGGTTTCCTGCAACATCCAGGTGTGCGCATCCCCAGAGACACTGCCAAGCGTCCTCAGCAGACTAGATGACACCATCTTCGTTCCCTTTGAGAAGGGCAGTCCCCATGGCATAGTCACGGCCATTGACAGACTCGTCGGCTTCTCGAATTGAAGCAACAGCGCGAACGGGAGCTGCCTGTTGTACTGGCAGTCCTGAGGTTTGGAAGCAGGTGGAGCTGCAATAGCTGGGTGGAAGCGACAGAATTGTCCAGAGTTTCGACCAACAGGTCTTGAGGGCTGCGGATCACAGGCTCATTTGTCCATAACACGTTCTCGTCTTTCCTGCTCGAGGATCAATGATCATAAAAGGGGTGGGTTGGAGGCTGAAGGGGGGGTGCTGTTATCAATCAAATAACATGAAGCATCAAATCTAGAAAGTGCCACTTTCCCATACTTGTGAACCTCAATTTCCATACCCTGAATGGTGGACCTGAAACTGCGTCAAGTAGTTTGCGTTGCCTATGCATCCAAGCTGTTGCTGTGGACTGTACAAGGCTGTCCTTGGGCTCTTGAAGCAGCACATGCGGCTCAGAGGTATGTTCACAATGAATGTATTACATCAGAAACCGAAACTGTTTCCCTCCTCCCTCCCCGTTCGCCAGTCTCAGGCGTGTGGCCCTCTCTGTGAGGGAACAGAGGGTTTATAGTATTTAGCATGCATCAGAGACCCATCCTCAAAATACTCTACCCAGCGACTAGTTGGTACATCTACTTCTACTGCTGTCACAATTCCACTAGTGTTGGCAATATGAATGGCTGCACCACCAATGCGCCATGCCACAGACAGATGGCACAAGCCTCCTGACGGGATTCGCCACACCATATCCTTCTCAAGTTCTGGCCTCCAGGGAAACTTCTGCCTTTGGATTGTCTGGAGCAGAAAATAAGCCTCGAACTGCAAATGAATCAATCGCGATAAGGAAAGGAAATGCACAGCGCGCCACAGGCTCTGCGCCTGTTCTTGCCATCAACACTACTCCCCCAAACTACGCCTATACCTAGGCCATCTGGAAAAACTGCCTTGGTCTTGACCACAACACCGCTCTTCCTCATTCACATTTCATCCTATTCGCCGCCTCTTTACATTACCACCATTGAGCTCTCTTTTTCCGTTCATGTTTCTGGCGACGCCTTTCTTGTCTTTCCCACCTTTTGGTCTCTTCCGACACTCCTCTACGACCAACCTTGGCCGCTTTTTCCCCGCCAATGCCCTGCTTTCCGCAGTCTTGGCTGCATTCACACACCCCTTTGCAGCAACTGGCGTCTGGGTGTCACCTATGAATCCATTCGCATCGGCTGTTTCAGTCTCCATTGCGTCTCCATCCAGGCCTGCTTTTGTAGAGCCGGCTGCATGCTCGCTGGCATAATCCACTGCGTCATCCTTCATGAGCCTCTTGAACGCGCTGTAGTGCTTCCTCATGCGGTCTGGATCCATATGCGCATCCAGGTCCACGCCATCCAATCTCAGACGCGCCTTCTTGCTCCTCGTGACATTCGTGCGCTCCTCCTGCCGGCGTCGCTCGCCTATGGGAGTGAACTGTGCAATTCTCTCATCGCTCACAGAGTATGCAGACTTTATGAACTGCTTCAGCAGGAGCAGAATTGACAGCGCAACCGATGCCTTGCACGCAGCCTGAACCAAGGCACTCCTGCTCCCGAATGGATTGTCTGGCAAGCCCAGAGATCTTGTGGAACCCTGGGACAGGGACAGGCCCCTGTGCTTGGCAGACTCCGTGACGTCGCCAAACAGAGACGCCCTCAGCGTGGACAGCACGACATCCCCACGCCTAGAGATGATGCCATTGGCGCCATGAACAAGGGAACAAAGCTCGTCGCCCCTGATGAACGTAAGCTGTGACGCCACGTTTGCGCAGAAAGACAGCAAGCGAAGGTCGCATCCACCAACTTTGCCGCTGTCCAGATCTGATCCCTCGTCAAAGGGCTTGAGCAACCCTTCAAGGAACTTCCTCCTGAGGTCCCGGCCGGGACGGATGACCTCAGAGTAGAGGGCTGCGAGGCCCTGGACAACGCGCCGATTACCGCTCGTCCCTGAGGCGTTCATGCAAGGGTAGCGCTCTTGGAGTTTCCTGCTGAACTTGTACGCCTCGACAATTCCCCTTGCCGTCTCGGATGCGAAGAGCTGAGCGAATTTGTCGGCCTCCTGCTTCAACAGGCGGACAGCTCTGCTGGCTAGCTCCAAGTTTGGGTCGGTTGCCAATGCTATGAGGTGCGCGACGGCTGTCCATGGCGCCACAAGTCCTGCCCTCAGAGCCGCTTCCATCAAGTCGAGGGCTGAGCGACGGACAGTGCACGAGCTGGCACTGCCTGGATCGTCGTTTCCATTACGGTGCGAAAATCTCTGTGCTGGGACGCTTGTTGCCAGCTCCAGAACAGGCTTCCACAGCCTCTGCAGAATCCCGCTGGTGACACCGGCCCCTTCCCCTTGGCCGTTTTGCGCTGGCAGTGCCTGGGCTCGAGCACTGATCTGTCCCATGGCTGCTGCATCATCTTGCTCATCTTTGCTCTGCTTCTGGGCCTCCATCAGACGCTCTTCATCTGCCCTCAGCAGATCTGACAGGTTTGCAAGCGCCTGCGTCTTCAGTTCGTCAGCTCCTGCGCTCAATACGAGTCTGGTCAAGCTGTCAACATCTTTGTTGCTAATCATCAGATCGGCTCGGCATATAAACATCATGCCCATTGCTCGGAGTGCTGACTCTTTCACGACCAGTTCCCTGGACGAACCAAACACGAGCACGGTCGTATCAAGGCACTCCTTGAGAAGATCGGTCCCTTCTGCTGGGTGTGTGTCCATGCTGCCTGCACCATACCGGCACAAGTGCCCAAGGATGAACAATTGCCTCAGGAGGACAGTGCAATAGTACTCATACTTCTTCCCCGATGCCTCTCCCCCATTTACTGCCTGGAAAATCTCCCTCACGAGGCTGTGCTGGCGGTGTGTGGCCTGCCGCATGACCTCCGCAACCTTTGCATCAGTCTTGGCCAAAATCGCAAAGCAGCGGCATGCAGCAGATACAACAGGGCTCCAAGCGTGCTTGAATATGATGGTTCTGAGGTCACACGTGAGCTCATTCACGAGCTCACTGTCAATGTGCTGCAGACGCTCCACAACTGCTCCTATGATGCTCAGGATGCATACAAGGACCTCTGCACCGCGCCGTCCATCTTCTCCTGATGGCCCAGCCTGCTTTGGAAGTGCCTGCAAGTATGGCTGCAGGCACCTGGCAAAACGCTGTGGGTCGCTGTCAGAGACGAGCAATGTGCTTGCAGAGCAGCAGAGTGCATGCAGTGCCAGCAAGTATGCTAACGTACATTCTCCCAACTGCCCTGTGCCATTTCCATCTTGAGCCTGCAGTGTTGCCTCCAGCAGCGCGCTAGCAATGTTGCTGGCCATGTTCCACTCAAAGCTGTCTTCGTCCGAGCCAAGGGCGCCATTTAGAACGACGATCAAAGGGTGCTGCTGCGTCAGAGGCAGGTGAATTCGGGGGCCGCTCGAGTTGTACACTGCGAGGGAGACGTCCGCCACCTGTTGCGCTCGAGCCTCAAGGCTGACATCGCTGCTAACACCAGCAGAGCTGCGTGCTGAGCACCCATTTCCGAACCACAGCGTTCCAAACACCTTGGTCACCATGCTCTGGACTGCCTCTTCTGGGTCCCCAGCCCTTTGGAGAATGTGCACACAAGCCTCTGTGGCTCTGGGGAAGCCCTGTGGCTGCACACAACATTCCCAAAGTATCTTGAGGGCCCTCTTCCGCACTGATGTTCCGCTGTCCTTTGATGCAGAGCAAAGCAAGTCAAAATATGCAAGGGCAAGATCTTGGCTCGTGCCAATGTAGCGACCCAGAAGATCCACCGCAGCCTCTCGCACCATTGTGGAGTCGTCTTGAAGTGCTGCATTCACTCCCATCTTGACTTCAGGGAGGGTGAGGATCCCCATGTCCGCTTCCACAACCATTCCCAGTGACTTCACTGCCCTTGCACGGACCAAGGCGTAGTTAGACTCTTGCCTTGAGCGATCACAGGACTCAGACAACCACTTGAGCAGAGCAGTTTTTCCCTGGCCAAGAACTCCCATGTGCACGATGGCCCTGGTCACTCGCAAACCCTGATCATGGGTCAGATCCAACTGCTCAGCTGCCAGGGAATCGGGCATTGATCCGTTGACAACCCTTGGAAGTTCGCAGAATCCCCGGTACTGCACCAACAGCCTCTGCATTTCTTCTTTTTCCACTTCTTCCCCATTCGCCCTCAGCTGCTGCAAGTGATCAGCGTACATTCTGCACACCAGGAAATGCCTGGCCGACCGTGCAGCTTCCTCTGACACCTTGGTTTGGATGCACAAGTGTTCGACCACAGCACGCTGCAGAGCATCCACTGCATCCAAGTCCCCTGCAGAACCAAGGCATTCTCTCTGCAGTTTCACAACCTGTTGAATCCAGCCTCTGGACTCCCTGGCAGCCAGGCTGCCTTCGCACAGCTTGGCAGTGACAATCCCCAGGAACTCAACACACAGCTGACGAACAGTGCTGTCAGTGTGTTTGAGGCCACTGTCTCCCCCCAGCATGAGTATGAACCGATGCAATAAGTGAGCGGCAGCTGGCCATTCGGGGAGGTCGCACACCAAAAACAGATCTGACAATATTGCCTCTACAAAGCCCTTCACATCTGTCACCCCATCAAGCCTCTGTGCCCTTGCATTGGGCAGTCTGTCAAAGACACTCTTCCAGAACGAGTCAGCCCACCAAACTGCTGGCCCAAAGCAATTGAACTGTTCTTTTGAGTCAGCTTCCATGGAAGGTAGCACAACGGACACTTGTGTGATGCCCATGAGCAGGGCTGTGGTAACCCGGATGTATCTCGAGCCGTTGCTGTCTGCCAGAAACTCGCAGGGCATTGACTTGTCCATGAAATCAGTTTTCAATAGGACAGCAACAAATTCCTCAAGAATGTTTTGCCTCAAAGATGGGTACAGCTTGAACGCTGCAGCCACCAGCCGCACAATCTTCACCTGCAGAAGTGTCACGTTCCTCATGCTGAGAGAAAGCAGCATGACCCGGATGCAGGACAAAAGCACGCTCGCTTCAATCTGCACCACATCAAGAAAGTCACAAAGCAACTGCACCATGACTTCCAGCTTGCTGAGGACGCACATGGCAAAGGTGGGCGCCTTGTGCCCCTTCTGTTTCCCGTTCCTCGGCGAACTGGCCTTTGTCGCATTGATCCACGCCTCCGCCGCGTCCGTCCATTCCGACCCGCACTCCGAACCCCTCCTCTGCTTCCTTTTCTTCGACGAGCCGTTCCTCGAATCCGATTTCTGCTCCTGCTCCCGACCGGAAGGGCCCGGCGCCGGGCTGCCGCAATGCATCTCCCTGTGGGCCGGGCAGAAGAACACGTACACACTGTTCTGCAGGTGGTGCTTTGCCAGCTCGACGGCGAGGTCGATGACCTCCTCCTGCTGGACTTCGAGGGCCATCCCCGGCGAGGTCAAGATGTGGAGGCAGACGGTGGCCGCGTCCAGTGCGTCCACCACACCGCCGCACGCAACCGAATTGTCGCCGTCACTGTCACCCGACAACCCGCCGATTCCGTCCCTCATGCGCGGCACCAGCACCCGAAACAGCCCAAGCCACTGCGCCGGCGGGACCGTCGCCACGGCGCCCGCGGCCTTGGCCCTCACCACCTCCTCCAGCAGCTGGCTAGGCCTGGCGCCCGCTCCCGCGCCCCCGCGCCCCAAGCGCCTCCCCGCCTCGGACCCTTCCCCCCCGCCCTCCTCCAAAAACTTCCGAATCGCACCGCCGAGAGCCGCCGCCGCCGCCTTGGCGCCAACACCCGCGGGCTTAACTGGCTGCCTGTAGGCCGCCGACCGCCTCCGCTTCCTGGGCTGCCCATCTTTTATCTTTCTCCTTTCCGCCCTGGCCCCGCGTCCAGCCAGGCCAGCTCCGCGCCTCCCCGAGAAAACATCCGGCGCCTCGCGGAGCACTGCGCTCACGAGCTCCGAGCACCGTCCGGGGAAATCCCCCCCCGGCGGCCGCGCCAGCCGCACGTAAGACGCGTCCGCGATCCCCAGAACGGAGGCGATCGCCCTGACGACGGCGGGATCGGCGGCCAGCGCACCGACGCGGGTATCGACGAGAGCGGCGCCATCCGCGGCCGGGGGGCGGGGACACGGGCGGGGGATTAGGGCGGAGGCGTCGGTCTGGTGGATGGTGACCAGGCGCGGGGTCGCCGCACGGGCGTCCATCGCGCCCGGGGCTGCGCTGCTGTGCCGGGAGGGGGGCGTGCGCTAGTGGGCGGCCGCGGGCATGCTAGTCGAAGGGCGGGGGTCGGGGGCGGTGGCCAGATTTGGAGCGCAGCGACAGAATACGCTGCTGAGTCACTCCGACCCATTGGGGGGCCCGCTCCAGAAAGCAGCTGCCTGCACTGGGGGGATCCCAATTAGCGCACTCCCAAGTGCCACTGGCCCTTCGTGCTTCACACACACACATATGAGAAAATGAGGGAGTACCGCTGACGAAGGCAGGCAGGGCCGAGGGGTGGCGCCCCCCTGAACGGGGACCGTAGGCTCGAGTCCAAGGCAACGGTTTACAGCCGAGCAAAGGGACAGGAGGAGTTCTGTCCCTTATATCCAGAGTCTGGATTCCAGACCGTACATCGATGTCCTTGATGCAAATCCTACTGCGTTATCACTTCTTTATGCGTCCAACTGCTCATAATACTGGATAAGGTCTAGTTACAACACCGCATTTGTTAAGCCCTTCGCAACGTGACAGCCTTTTTTTTGGAGCAGTGTTAAATACAATATTTGCGGAGCAATATTAATAATAGTAAATAATGCGCTGAAAAAAGATGCGGAGCAAAACGTGTAACGGTAAAATTTGAAAATGCGGAAGAGTTTAATAAGATACCGTAGTTGTCTTGGTCAGTTCGCACAGGAAACCAACAGTGACTTTGTGCGTGTGGCTATCGAGTGGGCGCACTTCTGCGGAGTGGTCCTGTCAGGAAATTCGCCGGCGTTTCGGCTTGCCTCCGGAGCGCGATGCAGAGCGAGCCTTGGGTGTTGGGGGGCTGCATGATCGGCGGAGTGGGTGAGTCTCTGGGATTGCCACCGTGGTCGCCCCATTCAACTACCACCCGCTCTGGTGGCGTGTCAACCTCGGTGTAAGCACCAGGTTGAACTGCCTGGTTGAGGAACCACGGGGACAGGCTCCTCATATAATGAACTCAATAGAAGGCGGCCGCTTTGCTTGGCGGTGTCAGTATGTTTTATCTCGATGAGGTAGACTTCAGCAATAAGTGGTTGCCAACCACGACGAAGAGTGGACATGTTCACTCGACTTCGGTCGATCTGCATTGTGTCCCATTACAAAGACCCAGGGTCATGGACAGTGAGGACGTTCTAAAAACTGCATATTGGGCGCGTTCTAGAAGCGCCTTGCGGTGCTGTTCTTGCCATTGCAGATAGAGTTGGTGGCCAGCATGTATGGAGGTTGCCTGATCGACTACCATTGCCCCCATGTCTTATCATGCCGGTGGTGGTGCCACCAATGAGCGAGGCCCTTAACCCTCCAGAACACAAAACACCACCTTCTCCAGTGAAGGTCTGTCCATTTCCCGCCCATCTCACGCAAATTTAAAGAAAATGTGCCTTGCTCACTGCATTTGGAACATTGGCATTGGTCACCTGTCTTTTGGCAACGATCTTCTCCTAGAGGAAGTCATCAGTGCACTTACACCCACATGAATGCCTGACAAGATGGTTTTCTGCTGGAGCTGAATGAAGATTGTGCATAATTAACTCCCAAGTGGCCATTCTTCAATTGAGATATGAACCTATTGACCTACATTTCCATCGAGATATCATGCGATCTGCTGCAAAGTTGCTTTGCTCTGACGTCGAAGAATCTCAACGCCAAGGTGACGATCATCGCTCCTTGGCTCCCATTTGGTTCGGCAACGCCTCGTGTGCAGCCTTAGATTGCAGGGCTTCGCCCTTTGCTGCTTCATCCTGCCCGTCTTACAGCAGGGCAGGTGTTCATGCACTTTGGGCTGGACATCGCACGGAATGATTTTGACATTTAAATTGCAATGATGGCAGTGCTGACACTAAAGAATTAAAGAATGGTGACAAAATCGGTGAACATATGAATTCATACTGAAGGGTATCTCCAAAAACGAAACCTTCTGCTTGGTGCTGCGACCTAGTCGTGCACATGCTTCTTCTGTCAGTCCATCCGCCTTGCTGCCTTTATCCACTCAACATCGATCTTGAATGAACCCAAAGAGTGTTGTTCATCCAATCCTGCCAGTGTAATACCAATGCTCTTGACCCGTGTTGTGTTTATCTCCACGCGTTCCTGGACAAGTCGTCCCTTCCATGTCAACATGAAGTTTTCAATTGGAATATGCACTTCGTCCCATTCGCCTGGTCTGTCAGAGAAATGCAAATGGGCGTATCAGTGGACGTCATTGAACTCGAGACCATTCACCCAGCAGCAATTTTCGCCCCACCACACAGGGAGAAACTCTTGGTGTAAATGGTAGATGTGGTTCAACATTAACCACCCCCAAGCATGCAGATACTGTGGAAGCTTGTCGAGACGTTCTGCAGCACAGTGTTGCTGCCCCTGGGGAGCCGACCCAACGATGGGTTCTTGCTGATCAACTGGGTTCCGATTGAAATTGTTGGCAGTCTCTGGGGTTGGCTACGCACAAGACGAGAGCTGGCATTGGCATGCATCCTTGTGACTCACCTGCAATGCAATAAGGCTTGCCAGACGTCAAAGTTCTGTAACTCCCCCACCACCCAGTTATCTGTCCTCATGCTGGCAAGGTACAGGTTACCATCGCCACGGACACGGAAAACGAGCTGGTCAAAATCAGAGATATCGATCGCATCCGAAATCTGCAAAAACACAAACACACATGACGTGACAACGATGACAGGCACTATCAGAACACGACAATCAACATTGAACAAAAGTTCATGATAGGAACCTCCAGCTGCACTTCACAGCTCAGCTCACTGCCACAGCTTCACCCCAATTGCTGGGACCCAGACTGAAGAAGCGATTTTGAGATGTGTTCCAGTATTCACATGCGGTGGCCATTGGCTTCTTGCTGGAGCCTGGAGAGTCAATCGTGCGCGCAATTCAAGGATATTGTTAACCACGAAGTGCTCCACATTGCAGATGGGTTGTAAATTTAGGCATCCAATCAGGCCAGGGGATGCAGCATATCGCATTCACGTGTACTGCGACTGCCACAAGCATTGCTAGGCTTGTGGCAAGACGAACCACATCTCGGACACACAAGGAGATGTCCAGACATATCCAATGTAACTTGGACTTGCTGCCTCCAACGAAAGCACAATTTATGACCTGCTTGTGGCACTGACATAGAATTCAGCAGGACACTATTCTGTCCAACACAAGTCATCCTGTCCCAATACCAGAGTTATTGGAACCCAATGTGAGGAAGAGCGATGCCCAACATTGCCAACGCAGATGCTATCCAGATGCAGCACCACTGACCACAAGGGCATTTCGAGCCCCGGACAACTGCCCAAACGTCCGTACAAAGACTTTAGAACTGCCTGATGGTACAGCGTTGCCCTGCTAACTTCAGACATGGCAACGATCTTCTCTGCACTTATCTTTTGAGCTGGAGCCACTGAAACAATGAATATGGGAAAGAAGAAACTGCCCAGTACACAGATGGGGTTGCAATAGAGATCAGCTCAGCATAGATTGCCAACTCTGGCTATACCCTTGAATCTGTTAGGGCAGGTGCATATTCTGCAGCATTGCGCCACTTGGATCCACCAAGGCTTTTGGTCGAAAAGGATGTCCACCCTGTGGGCCAAGGCCCAGCTTGTCAATCTGCTTGCTGCCAAGAGTGTTCACCTTTGTGCGCATCCCGCAAAACCCACTTCGCTTCAATCGATATTCTCCTGCCTGTATTTGTGCAGAGCACTCTCCCTGAAACACAGCATGTGCCTGCAGCACAGAGCAGCAGCCTCTTACCAATAACTCATTGCACTATGCACCGATAAGAACATTGTTGATATGCCCCTGTACAGACAACCACCTGCAGTTAGGATTGCTGCCTGCTTTTGCCAGCTGCAGCTCTCACAACTGGCTGCAAAGACAGGTATTCAGAATGAGGCAACAGTTCTGGACAACAATCGTCATAAATGAAACTACATGGGCACAAAAGATTTGTGTTAATGCCACTGAGACATGTGCATGACTCTCCCTTTACTGATATGCATTATTACCCACCAGAATGTTGGTTTTGACAAGAGTGCGAAAAATTTTTAGTTCGGCAAGTTCCAAAATGCAGACGCACATTTCGTTTCCTAACTGTTTGTATGTCTATTAGGTGTCTCTGCTTGCACCACATCCACCAGTGCACGTGAACAAAAGAAGAACATGCCCACAAGGACTCTGATGGTACAGGGCAAACTTGGGCAGTCTGCCTTGCAAATGGTGTGCGTGGGATTTGTCACGAATCCAAACGTCCATTGGACAAGGAATCCATCCAGGCTGGCAACAACATGCATAGCTTGAGCAGCCGAATTGATTTCTAACTTGCACTTGTTTGACCATCCAAACCCCTGGCTCACCTGATCATCTGATAATTGCAACGTTGCCAATGAGTGGCCCCCATACTGTTGATCCGTGAATACTTCCCATTGTTGTAGATCTTCCTTTTTTGATAATGGGAACAGTGTTCTCTGGGATGGAGGGCGGAAATCTTTGACTGCACACAGGCAAAATGGAGTGTTTGGCTGCTGAACAACGATCGAGCGAACATGGCTTTTGGCCCCTGCTGATGGGCACAAAGGAACACAAATGGTGTTTGCATCACGATTCTTTTGGGGGGGGAGAGGAGAGGCGGGGGGAAGTGGTACGATCCGAGGGCGGACGAAATTTCGCCTGTGGATTGCGCGGTGGAAGAACTCACCGTTCTCAATGAACTCCACGCACCGCTTGGCAGCCCATCGCCACATGGCGCTGGCGATGAGGGTCCCAACAGCGTGCGCGTTGCTGCGTTGTCGTGCGTTGGCTCCTCCTCAAGGAGCATCTACAAGAATTCGGCACCTTGGCAGAGGTGCGCGGACGATCTTATTGCAAGTCTCCGCCACTTGACATGTGCAAGTTCCTGCTCATAGACAGCGACATCTCGGTAGTTTAGGACTGCAGGGTGTGCGCTCAAACTGTATCCAACTGTGAAGATGCTGATTGCATTGATATCGTGGCATCTCAACCCTGCTTACTAGAAAGGTGTTGAATGGCCATCACGTGTGACTGCCAAATATGACTGGTGAGTCACGGCCACGTTTGTACTTGGATCAAAGCACATGCCCCACCCAGATGCAAAGGGATCCGAGTGACACACAACAACCAATTACTAACCTAGTTGCAAAAGCACAGACCAACTGGAAATGGAACGGACTGTTGATTGTACCAGCGACTGCACCCGTCAGTGGCTGCGACGTGATGGGTATGCCACTCCTCTCGTGCCTGGTCTGGTTACGCCTTGCACGCTCAGAATTCCACTGGAAACTCAACTGCCCTTTCAGTCGAGCTATCTCTCTGGCCAAACTGGCGAGTTGCAGTGATTCTCCTTGCATTAATGAGCAAAAGATGCGCCAGTCTGGCGCCGCCAGACCGGTTCACCCACTTGCTGAACTAGCCTCGCAACCCTTGTTGTCAAGACCAGTCCGTAGGCAAACAAATTGATGCAAGTTACAATTAGTAATGCTGAACCAACTGCCTTCCAAAGTTGGAACAGTTAACTGTTGTTTATGAACACACCTACCCAATCCTTAGTATGATTTCCAGGACTTTGGACACTGCCCAACGAAATCAGCACATCATCAACATACACTTTGACATCCAGTTTCTTGCTGATTCTGTGTGCACTTGCACAATTCAGTTATCAACGACTTTTGCAGACAACTCTTTCCAGCTCTTTCGCAGCTGCCGAGTCTGATTCCGAGTCAGTGGCTGGTTCTGAGCTTCTTGTGCGGTTCTATGCGGGTCAAGCTTCACAGGAGCTGGGGGACACTCGGATAACGCAACTTCTGTGGCAGGGGTTTGAGCTTTAATTTCCTGGCTTAGGTTTTTAGTACTTTTTCTCAGCCTGGCTCATGCTATGACCAGCATTGGTTTTTTAGAGCTTTATTGAATGGACACCGGGGAACTCAAAGGGAATGTAACTGCAAGTTGTGATCAACTTTTCTGATGTCAAATCAACTATTTGTGCAACACTAGTCACTGTGGTGACTCAGCATCGCTCGCTATCACCGGTACAGTTAGTAATAGACTTGCCAGGTTTCTGAGATACGAAAGCCAGCCACACGGAGTTTCAAAAGGCAGACAACCCTTCCGCCAGCTTCAGAACGTGGATCTGGGCTTGTCCAACACTTGTTGTAATTGCACGTTGCATAAAGCATGGCTTTGGGTCACCTCAACACTGGATCCAACAGCAACTGGCTCACCAAAACAGTTGCAGTTACTTGCAACACTTCAATAGCGACTCAACACTCTAACCTGGATCTTTGGTGTACCCAACAACTGCCAATGTTCCCTTTTGGGATGCTGAAGTGTCTCCTGAGGAAGCAGCACCCCCTGTGCACTTTCCAACCATCGTCATGGAGCTGTTCTGGCCTCACACACACTTAACACACACTCACACATACAGAGCAACTCTCGACGTGTTGTGACCTGCATTCAATCTTTGACCCAATCATCCAATTATTACAAGAATGTTCCGTTGGTCCCTTGGGACCACCGTTTGGTCAGTTGGGCTGGTCACAACAAGGGCCGCCGCTCCCCTATTTATATTCCGCGGGGCTGCCGCCCCTTCTACGAATATTACCTAAGATTTCCTAGTATATTCCCCTCTACAAGCGGATCATGTAAATGTCAGTGTAATCACTTGACTCTCCCCCTTTTCACCGTTCAGATCAGCATATTCAAATGAAATCCCTCTAATTTTCAACCTAGGGTCAACTGGCTCACCAAAGGAGCGCAGGTTCACCCTAGTTGCCTGGATTCCTCTAAATCTTTGTATATTCCCCTCAGATCCCATTGAGACACAAACAAAGTATTATAACGCAATCACATTGCATGGTCTGGCTCGCTAGTATCATCTCGTTGAGCCAACCGACCACCAAACAGCTCTATTCACTCAAGCACCCTTCGCAGCATTTTTTACGAAGAATAGAGCGCAAGTTACTAACGTTTTTAGTCAACCTTTATGAGCGGCACCTCACTATGGGAAGCTTCTGTTGCTTCCCTTCAGTTTCCGGACCTTTACGGCCTTTGTACGAATGTCCATTCTTCATCTATACTTTCTGCCCTTGCTGCGCCACTTCTCCCGCCTACGCTTAGGTAGCCCGTGTCGTCATCCACGTAAGCTGCTCCGTGTCCGTGTTTGCCAAACCCCCCTCTCGCCGTTTGCATTCCGCCTCACTTTCGGCATCGGACGCTGGCCCTCCGACGCCCGCACCGTCCGTGCCAACCCCGTCAGGGGTTGGCACACCGTCGCCAACGTCGCCCCCGTTTCCGCCACAGACCAACCCTCCACAGCAGCTCGAAGCTCTCTTTGGTGGTCAGTGGAGAGGCCATTGGCTCGCGGGATCCAAACTGGACCATCCTCTCCAGCTCCCCCAAGCATCCCATCTAGAACCGCGACGTTCAACAAGCTCGCCATGGTGCTTCGAACAGGTCTGCACCGCCGGCGGGGTTTGGACTTTCCTTGCGCGCTGTGCGCAAGCCTTTCTGGCCGTGGGGCTCTTAAGCGGGGTCGTTTCGAGCGCAAGGCCCGGTTCCCACGGCTCTGTACGGCCAACTCGGCCGTCAGCGCTTGTGGCACATCAAGAAAGGCCCAGTCATAATGGGCAACATACAGGGCTGTCTCCGTACCCTTGGCAATATCAGTTCGGGTACGTGGGAGGTCAACGTGATACAAGTCGGTCGCGTTTCATCACAGTGCGATATGAAAATATGGATGTCAGTCAAACTACGTCACTAATATGCAAGTAAAAGAGAATGCATAAAGTTCACCCTTGTCCCGTCAAGCCAAGGGAGGGCTGTGACAGACTGGTATTGCGTTTCAGTTGCATTTTAAAGCTCCTTTTAGGTGTCTCAAGGCTGCAAGTCAGGCCGACCGTCTGGCAGCATCCATACCGCCTTGCGGGTCATGCTTTATCATCAGAATGCGCCTCAGATGGCAGCAGCTCTCCCTGTGCACCATGCCCTGGCTCCATGCGCCGCCTTTATCGCAGTTACCACCCAGTTTAATGCACTGGCGGGTGCATAATTGCCAGGCCATCTTGGCGCATTTTTCTAGCGTTCCTGGTTCATTATAAGCTCCAAGTAATTACTTGGAGTCATCTTCACAGCTGCCAAGTTCATTGCTAAATGCTGTAATGTTCAACCAGCTCTAAACCACCGTATAGCCTTGTTCTTTCACATCCCTTTGTTCATTGTCGCAATAGTCCCACCCGTTTTCTTTAGACTTTAATCCCTGCGATGAAGTGTCAGCGTTCCTTTTGAAAATACCCTTTTTCTCCTTCTTCTTATCAGCGAATATCACAGCAGCAAACCTTTGAGTTGCGTGGCCGTATGTCTTCAGGTTCAGCAGTCACATCAGGCTCATATCAGGGATACTGTACTCAACAGCTTGCACCAGGACCTATATTCTCATCACGTCCGTTCACTTTCAATCGTGTCAAGCTGCCGACCTTCAAACTGAACTGTGCATAAACTCCATTAGCACCGCCTTGTGTTTCTTTCCTTTCCATTTTCAGACATTGTCCACACTTCAGTTGCTGTCTCTTCATCCATTCTGTTCACCTCGCATATTCGTGCACTTGACTTCTGTTCATGTAGATCCTTGTAATTTATGGCAGGTCTTTTTGTGCATACTTTTCTATTCCAGCTCTTGCCCATGTGTCCCATCGACATCCCTGGGATGAATGTTTCAAGGCGGTCTATACACTCCTTGGAAACATTCTTATCCACCAAATTCAGGCCTCTGGTGCTGCCTTTTCGTGAAACAAAGTGCATCGCCTTCTCGAAAGATTTGAGCGGTCATGCTGATGAACAGTCGAGCTCCAGTCAGATATTATCAATGCTCTTCAGCATGTCCAAAACTGGACAGCCACTGAAGGATGGTAGCTTGCCTTATTGTTTCCTCGGTTTTCTACTACAACCATCTCCCAAGCAGCACGTTAGGCAACATAAATCGTAAAGGCATAGCGACCATCTGATGTTTTCTTAATATGCCATTTACATAACAGCTCTCCCTTGTTCTTTTTATGCAACGTATATATGTTCTTTTCTTCGCTCCCTTATCTCCTCTTCTCACTTTCAACCTGACTGGTTGTTTGACAGTGGCCCAGTCAGCTGCTCTATGTCGATCATGAGCCCGCCTTTGATGTACCGGTGCTCATGACTAACAGCAGTTTTAACAAAGGGATTGTTAAACATCGACTACGCGGAAGGTTTGTGTCCCTGTATGACAGTCCATCTGTGGGCCCCACATCCGTATCGAATGACGTGCCATGGCAACAAGGCACCTCACAAGCCGATGAACGTTGTGTGACAAATATATGCTCTGTGCGTTGGAGATATAGTGCACCCTCAGCGCCTGCGCGGCGACCGGACGCTGGGGTGCTCAAGTTTGAAAGAAGACACCCCCATTGTTCGCGCTTTTGTATATATTGCTGCCGCTGGGCCAATGAATAAACCCATAATACGTGTGTGACAGGTGATGCTGCTCTGGTTTCCAAGCCCCTTTAAAGCGACTCCCAAATTTGGGATTTGAGACTAAGCGAAACTGCCAATTCTCCATTGACTCAATGAGCTGTTATTGCAGCAAATCCCCAGACATTGCGTAGCGTGTTCTTGATTTGGCGCTGTACAGATGATCCTTTTACTGGGATTGATCAGAAGCTTTGATAGCAAACCAGCGCATCAGTTTACATACAACACGTGA